AGTGGAAAACAAGTTTGGAGAAAGTGTGACCTAAATGACTCATATAATCCTAAAAACATTTGTACGTGGCAGAAGAAAGAAGAAAACAAAAAGATGTAACACTGCAATAAATTAGTAACTTTCTCTGTAAGGTTCTATTTTCATCAGTAAGACATGTATTTCCACAGTGGGACAACAAACCCTTTTTTTTTTTCCTGAAAAAGAAAGAGAAATAACATCGAGAGAGAAAAATTGGGCAGGAGGGGGTGGACCAGCCAAAGTACTTGAAAGCATTGAGGGATTGCTTAACAAGATATTTCAGGGAAAGGAAGATACCAAAACAATAGGGAAAAATCATGGTCTGCATAAGCAATGAATCAGTCATTCGGTAAACATTTTCAGAGTGTCTTTTGTGTCTCAAGCTCTATGCTAGGTGCTGGAGAGACAAAGACAACAGTGAAACAGTCACTAATCTCAAGAAACTTTCATTTTATCAGGAGAAATAACGTGTATGTGTACAATAACAAGCAATTTCATATGCTTTGTTTGGTAATATCTTCATATGTCAAAAACATTGCCCCCAAAGGGCTATGAGACCTATAAAAACTATTAGTTCATATATTTTCTCACCTATATGAAATATTCAATATAAAGGTCTATAGTACATGAATATTATGATATAGTCCTAACATATAAAAAGGGAAGGATAAAGCAAAGAAAAAAACTGTAGGTCTGTATCACTAATGAATATTACTTTAAAATTTTAATATTAAATCTTGGATGGAAAAACCCACAACCCGACAATAACAAAAGGGCAACAATTGGTTTTAAAAATTTCTGTAAGATGATTAGATTTATGTAAGAAATACAAGGATAGTTCAACATTAGGAAAATAATTGACATTAAAATAAGAAAAAATACCATTAATATACATAACATAACATGATAAGATATAAAGATGGTTATATATTATATAAATGATATAAATATAAATGATATAAAGAGATTCAGAAATCACAATCTCTGACCAAGTGTCACATACATTTATACCTAAAAATCACTCTACAAAATATGTGCGTAGAAAGATTTAAAAGATCTATTTAAAATCACATTGATATTGTGTGAATCAAATGTTTGTATTATAGTCTAGTTAAGCAGTAGAAATTTTCCCAATACAGATGCACATGTATCTACAGCAGAGCACATGTTGAGAGTCATACAATTAACTGAAAAAGTCCAAGTAATACAATACAAGTTACAAAAGAGCATATCTCCAAATATTTTGCATGTATGTTTAACTTATTTAAGATTCCTTGAAAAATGCAATCTTATTTTTCTCTTCAAAAACTGTACTGAGTGTCATCAAGTATGACATAAAACTAGGAGATAAATGTCTACCAAAGGTGTCACCACAATGATGGTGGATGCCTTGAGTAGGTTCAGATGGAAAAGATTCCCTGCACCTGGTAAGGTCCTTCAGATGCTTCTCTTATAGGCAGCTAGCTGGCTGTTGCCCATGTCTGGAACACTCTCCTTCCTTCTCTCTGCCTCCTGTTTGCTTGTTGTCTGCCATGTTAGCCCATGAGCTCCTTGAGAGCAGGGGCTCTCTTTTGCCTTTCTTTGCATCTGCAGCACTTAGTACAGTGCTTGGCACATAGCATGAGTATTTAAAAAGGCTTATTGGCTGACTGCAATCATTACCTGCTCTCGAGATTCTGGTTTTGGAGAGGTTCTTGGAGCATTCGAATATTAAATGATTTGCCCAGAGTCACATGCCCAGTATCTGTTGGAGCTAGGACATGAACTCAGGTCTGAGTGGCTTCAAGGCTGATTATTCAATAAGCCAGTCACCTTTCCTCCTGAATAAACCTGTTTTGTAAATGACTTGGTGAATGAATGGATGGACAGATGAATCCATCCTTTGACCTTTAGTCACAACACTGTATTGCTGGTTCATATTTAGGGTTTTTGTTTATTTGTTTGTTTTTACTAAGCTGTGACTACCTGTCCAGTAAATATATTTCCCTTCATGAGAAGCAGCATGGTAAAAGACATAGCCTGTTCAACTTGGAGACAGGAGGACCTGGATTGAAATGGTGATTCAAACACTTCCAGTTGTGTGTCCCTGGATAAGTCATTTAATTTCTCTCTGCCATAGTTTCCTCATCTTCAAAAGGAGGGATTAGACCTGTTAGGTACCTTCCACTTCTAAATTCGTGGTTCTTTCAGTTCCCTCTCCTTTCTCCATCCCTTCTGGTACCTTTTGCATGACTTTTTCTGTTCTGTGAAGCTTTTATAATACCATTGTTATCTCATCAACCATGGGTTCAGCTGTTTTTTTCTGACTTGCCCCCAAAGTCTCTTGAGGCCTCAGTGATGCTAATTGGTTAAAGAAGGACTTGGGATAGATGTTTTCTAACATCTTTTCTAGCACTAATATTCTATTACTCTCTGTTTCTCTTGAACTCAAGACCCTCTGATGCTCTGGAAGTTCCCAATGCCAAAAGATGACTTAGTCAAACACTATGGGTATGTGTGCCCATTATCACCCTCTCTCTCACCTTGAGCTGACACATTTTTTTGCCTGAAACAGCTCTGCTTGGTTTCATCCTGAGATAGTGACATTTTACAGAATCACAGGGTCCATGTGTTCGAAAAGACCTCAGATTTCAGTTAGTCCAAACTATATATGAACTAGAATCTTCTATACAACATTCTGAAAAGTAGCCTTCTAGTCTCAGCCTGTAGACCTCTGGGGATGGCAAACCCATGACCTACCAAGGCAGCCTATCCTTCCTTGGGAACCCCTCCCCCGGCTGTCCCTATTCACGTTAAGCCCAAATTAAATTCTTTGTTACTTCTACCCATTTTTTATCCTCTGGAACCAAGTAGATCAATTCTAATCTCTCTTCAGTGTGACAGCCATTCTTATATGCAAAAACAGTGATCAATCCTTGTGCTTTCCTCTCCAGATAAAACTTTCCCAGTCCCTTTGACCAGTCTTCTGAAGTCAGAAGACCTGGGTTCAAATTCCATATTTGACACTACTTTAGTCAAGCCACTGAATCTCTCTGATCCCTCGTCTCCTATTTGTAAAATGGGTTGGCTCTGGACTTTATAACTTGTTGATCCTACAATCTTATAGTCTTGAATATTCTTGTTACATCGGTATCCCTTTCCTGAGTTTGTCCTATTTGTCAATGTCTTTCCTAAAATGCCATACACTAAACTCCACATAACCCTCTGAATATATTATTACCATAGTAGAGTTGAGTAGACTTACTACCTTACTTGTTCTGATTACCAGCATCTTTCAATGCAGCCTTTAATACAGATTATTCTTTAGGCTGCCACCCTTACACTCCCTTGATTCCCGTTGTACTTACAGTCCACTAACTCCTGGACTGCAAAGTTATCCTGATAGTTATCTGCAAAGGTGGGATTTGCCTTTATCAGACTCGCATGCTGTGTAATCAAAATAAACATGTCTTACGGATTTAATCTTTGCTGTTATCAGTCCTATGAGGATGTTTAAAATAAAAATTAATGAAGCTGAGGGTTATTCCAAGGGGTTTTAGTCCATTCACCTAATAGATCATGTTTATATTTGTAATTGCTGCAATTTCTTTGGGGTTTCTAGTTAGAATTTTGACTCTTGCTTCAACACCCAAATAGTTTCTTTCTCTTTCTCAGAGCTATAATTAACATGGGCTTTGTCCTAGAGTACATATGTCAAAGTCTGCTTCTCTGATCTCTACCCTCACTGTACTTCCTTACCCTCTGGAGTTGTGGAACACAATTTGTATTGCTATGAAATATAAGCTCCTTGAGGGCAGGGGCTGTTTTGTTGTTGTCTCTGTATCTAGCTGGTTCTAGGTGCAAGCTAATTGAATTGTATTAAACAGCTTCTGTCAGACTCCTTGGACCATGGGCCAACTCCTGCTGGCAGGACTACCCAGACCCACTCCATCTGACACCAAAGAGTGTGTCTTCTGTGTCCTCCCATCCCCCAACAGCTGCTCAACTCAAATGACTCCAAGTTCCACTTCAACTGGTTGTCTGTCTGTTTCTTTGTGTCTGTCTCTCTTTATCTCTCACTGTATATCTATCCATCTATATCTATATCTATATCTATATCTATGTTTCTTTTCTTTTTAAATTCCAAGAAATAAATTTTTTGGCTGGCTCGCTGTTCAAAACTTAAACTACATGCCAATTATGTTAGCTCATATTTAGATTCTGTGCAAGCCACCATGATTGTTTTCATTGTAAAATGGTCTGAAAAAGAAGTTGATTTATCCCCAGTGCTCAACCATAGCTTGAGCTATGGAATACCTGCTTAAGAGTTCATTATTTTGGATATATAGAACAGATGAATCAGCATTGGGCTGAGACTGGTCTTTTTTCATGTTTCTGGTTTTGAATTTTGACATTCAAAAAAATTGCTCCTCAGTACTATAGGTTTTGAATGATGGAGCATTTAAATACTTAATGTTGTGATTGTTAGCATATTATTGCTTCCCAGGCATCAACCCAGTGTTTGAGTTCTAAACCCTATGAAAATGGATTATATTGAAAATTAGGGTTGAGCTGCTGATGGATTCTAAAATGGATTTTTGGCATTATGTCCCTCTCTGGTTCCTTAAGTCACAGCCCAGTGCTTATTGTCTTTCCCTATGGCCAGGATTATGAAAAGGGATTCATCAATAGTATTTGGAGAATAGCCTTTTGCAGTAGCTGGGTAATCTGTGACCTCCTTTCTCCATTTCTACTCTATGGTTGAAACAAACAATATTATTCATCCTGTCAGTAGACCAGGTGAGATAACATGGTAGCCTTACCATTGAAGACTTTTGTGTATCTTTTCATTTATGCTATTTTGGTTCTTTATTATGCAGTCTGTAACTGAAATATTTGCAAATGGATGTTGGCAAAGATCTCCTTTTTTCATTAATTCTAACTCACCTGGCCATTGTCTAATTCCTAGTCTAAAAAGCACTTCATTATCTCTTTTTTTCTAGAGCATGATGAATGTGGTAGTGCCCAACACACCTGTGATGACAATGCAATCTGCACTAATACTGTCAGGGGACACAGCTGCACCTGCAAGCCTGGATACGTGGGCAATGGAACCATCTGCCGAGGTAGGTCCACTGTTTGGGCAATTTTATCAGAGCTGCAAGGTTGATTCATGTAGGTCTCTCTGTCCAGGTTCTTATAACTTCTGGTTGCCAAGTTCTCTCACAGCTTTAGCTTCTATTTTATTATCTGACGTTTGCTACATGCATGGAGGTGATGAAGGGGATTGAGTTGTCCTTTGCTTTCTATCTTTCCATTGGGAAAAATGCCCCCCCTGACTGCTCCCAAACTTTTGATTTCATGGGTGTATGGATCCCGCAATATGAAAACAAATTCAAGTATTATAGTTCAACATCCTGTTTGTAACAGTCATCGAGTTTTGCCTTTGGCATCAATATAGAGTCACTTATCCATACTACATGGCTAGTTTATATCCTGAGCAGAACTTGAACGTAGGTCTTCCTAGTGCCAAGACCTGCTTTATATCAGCTACACCAGGGATTCCCAATGTTTATTGGTCTCCAGATATGTTGGCTCTCAGTAAGCCTTTTGACAATGCCTATTTGAAATGAAATGAATTAAATTTTATGGTTGACTATGCATTTACACATAAGAAATGAAAAGTAAGAATGTGATACACTTCTCTATGGGTACACTAAAATTCTGAAGCTTCTTCAATTGGTATTAATTAAAAAAATAAAATGTAAAATTTTCCATATTCATTTGACAAGTTTTTCATACCTCTTGGGAAGGGGAAACACGTACACTCCAGGTTGGCAACATCCAAACTTCCCCATCTTGTAACTCTAGCATCTCTCCTTGAAATGAATTTATGGTGATGCTCCTAACATCTAACGTTGGTATCTTTCTTTTCAACATAATGCTGCCAAGAGGTAAATGAGCAACATCTATGTACCACAAGCAGAGAATTGATATAGTAAAGCTACTCTAAGTCCTGTCTACTATTAGAGTCTGAAAGCAGTTGACCATTTAGGACTGGAGCTTAGCATTTCAAAATAGGCCAAAACTATTTCATGAAAATGGAAAAGGAAGTATATTTCCACAGAGAAGAAACTGCTAAGTAGGGCTACATGCTAATGCTGTTGAATTGAGTAGCATGGGGATTTACTTTTAATGCATTTTCTGAAATTATACCTCCACATAAAATAATATTAAATGGCCTGTTTTGGTGAGTTTATATTTGCCAATTCCTCCAGTGCTGTTGTGATAAGTGTCTACCTCATCTCAGTGGAGTTTTCAAGACCAGCTGTGAAATGTATTAGTTCAAAAGAGGTCTTGGAGCCCCTTGATTCTGAAGGGAAGTGATTTTGCCTTGAATTGTATGAATTGTGAAATGGACTTTCTTGATGGGATTCTTGTCCAAACAAATTGAACTTAAGTATTCTCTATTTCTTTTCTTGTCTTTTCTTCTTTTTCCTCCCCTTCCTCCTCTACTTTCTTCTACTCTTCCTCCTATTTCTTGTCTTTCTTTCCCCTTTCCCTTTTTTCTTTTACCTTTTTTGTCTTTCTCCTTCCTCTTTCTCCACCCAAATATGAGTATAATTATGGCGTTATATAGAGAAATTCATACTTCTGGACAAAAAAGCATACTTCTTTCCAATTATGATATGATGAAATATTAACAATAGCATTAACACACATAACATTAGACATAAATATTGAAAGCAGTAATAATTTGGATGAATTCTATCACATTTTTTCTGAATTACTTCAACCTATGTAAGGACATATATTCATGTGAGAATGAGGGGGAAATTAGAGAAGTATTAACTAGAAGAGGCCTTAGAGATCATATTTTTCAAGTCCCTAATTTTACAGAACCTATCAGAGTTTAAACAAAGGAGGAAGAAAGACAAGGTTAAAATTTACTGATTTTCATACTTAAATACATATAAATTTGAATATTTTGTTGGAGAAAGGGTCTTAAGATGTTTCTCCATGAAATGATATGGCAGCCAAAAAAGAAAGTTAATATAATCTTAACTTTAAAATAAAAGGAAAGCTTGTGCTATTCCTGGTCAGATCACATTCGGAATATGTAATTAACTTATGGCCATCCTACTGATAATTTGGAGAACATCCAGATGGTGTAGGACCTCAAAACCATGTCATATGAAAGACAGTTGAAGGACTTGGGGATGTTCACTCTTTGAAAAGAGGACTTGGGAGGATATGGCTGTGTTTAAGGCCATTGTGATGTCATGTGGAAGGCGGATTCAACTTGTTTTACTTGCCCCAGAAGCCAGAAGTAGGAGCAAATAGAGGAAAATTTAGAGTTAGATGCAGGAGTGACATACAGAACACACACACACACACACACACACACACACACACACACACACACACACACACACACACACTTCCTAACACCTATAATTGATTAGAATGCTTTAGAAGGTCTTTACTAGAGTCTTCAAGCAAAGACTGAATAGCAACTTGGCTCTGCTCTAAATGGAATTCTTATTAAGGTGCAGATTAGGTTCGATGGTCTCTGAAGTCTCTTCTAACGTTATGTGTATAGTTCTCTGAGATTCAGGCTTTTTCTCCATGATTTCACATGTTCATGAAAACTGGAAACTTGAGTCAGCTAAATAACAATAACAACAACATTTATAACATGCATACAATGTATCTAGCACTGTGCTAAGCATTTTATAAATATCTCAATTGACAGTCACAACAATCCTGATAGGTGGGGGCTATTATCTTTATTTTACATTTGAGGAAACTGAGGCAAATAGTGGTTAAGTGACTTGCTCAATATTACATACCTGGTAAGTTTCTCATTCAGGATTCGAACTCAGGTCTCCCTCACTCCAGGTCCATCTCTCTATCACTGTGCCACCTAGCTGTATTAAATATTCAGATCTTTGCTGTCATAGGTGGCATTGGAGTTGGATGGTGAGAAGTGAAATCTCTTATTTGAACTCTCTTCCCCCTATTTTCTTGTGTTAAAAATGTTTGGCATTGAGACAATATATCCTGACAATATTGAGTAAAATGGGGATCAGGGAATTATGTCCCCATGCCCTTTCCATTGCTTGTTGGCTGTGGTTAAGTCGTTGGCTGTTGGTCGTTGATCAGATAAGACCTGCATCTTATCTGCCACAAACAAATATAAGAGATGTTTAAGAAGCTCTGATCCTGGGGAAAATAATCTTACCTCAAGGCTGATGATATCCGAGGCCTATACAGAAATGCTAAGGTGGAATGTGAGACTAGAATCTAAAATAAAGGAAGGAAGAAGTCAGCTAAAATAAGTTACTTTAATACCATGAGGATCCATTATAACAAAGTTATGTGCGATCCTTCCACCTATGCAACTCTTTCATGTCTTAATAAAGAATCTTTGTGGGTTGGTGTGGTGGATACATTCATCACCTGTGGGCCGTGTGTCAGTGCTGATACTCTCTAAGCATGACTAGTCCTTGGAGAATACAGAGTTCTATGCATCCTTCAAGAACTCAGAATCAGATGACTTCTGAGAGTGGAGCCAAGATGATAGAGTAGAGAAACTGCTCATCTGAGTTCTCCCAACATTCCCTTCCAGACAAATTTAATAAAATGCCTCAAATCAAATTTTGGAGTGGCAGAACCAACAAAAAGGCCAGAGTGAGACATTCTTACAGACCAAGACAACAAAGGAGGTCAGAGTTCTATAATGTGGAAGAGGAGGTTGGCCCAGAGCCCATATGGATGAAATACCAGTGGTGGGACTAGGTGGGGGTGACAGAAGCAACAGCTTCTAGGTGGGTGTTCTAAAGCCAGAGATGGTACAGGGACCTGAAAACTGGTCAGAAAGAGATTATAGTGGACCCATGTGCTAGCACTATACCCAGCACCAGGCCTTGTTTGGCAATTCCATTGCCTATAACCGTACCCACTTCTGGGTCATAGCTCAAGGGCAGAGGGGAGCACTTTCAGTCAAGAAGGAGTGGAAGCCTTGAGAGGCAGTATCACTTCTGGCCCCACAATAAGAGGGACTCAGCAGAACAGGATTGTTTTTAGTCCCAAGAAAAGAGGGGCTGTGAGGAGCAGTATTCATTATAATACCAAGGGATCAGGGGCCCTTCCTGGGCAAGGAAGAAAAAATGTCCAAGAAGAATGAAGAAAAGTACAAATGTACTTGTGAAGTGAGTACACATGAAGAAAGCAGAGATCACACTTCTCCACATATCACACTGTCTTAGAAGCACCCAAAACTTCCAAGCCCTCAGAACTGAAAACAGCAGTGTAAAAAAAAAGCCCGAAGTTTAAGATAGTGCCCCTCCTCCCATGCCCGTAATAGAGCCCAACATGAACATAAAGTTCCAGATTGAGAAATAGGGTGGAAACACAAGCACACACACACACACACACACACACACACACACACACACACACACACACACACAAAGAACCTAACCATAAAAATCTATAATAGTCACGGGGAAGATCAAGACACAAACTCAGAAGAAGACAATGAAATTAAAACAGCTACAAGCAAATTCTGAAAGAAAAAATATGAATTGGACAGAAGCCCAACAAGAATTCCCAGAAGAGCTAAAATTATTTTTCAAAATCAAGTAAGTGGTAGAGGAAAAATTAGGTAATGAAATTAAAGCAAAGGGAGAAAATTATGAAAAGACAATTAATAGCTCAGTAGAGGAGGCCCAAAAAATATTGAAGAAAATAATACCTTACAAAAACACAATTAGCCACGTGGTAAAAGAGGTACAAAAGCTCACTGAAGAAAACAAAATTCCTTAAAAATTAGAATTGGGCAAGTGGTAGCTAATGATTCCATGGAATATTAAGAAACAATAAAACAAAATCAAAAGAATGAAAAAAATGAAGAAAATGTGAAATATCTAATTAGGAAAAACAACTAGACTGGAAAACAGATTGAGGAGAGATAACTTAAGAATTATTGGACTACCTGAAAACCATGATCAAAAGAAGACCCTAGATACCACATTTCAAGAAATTATCAAGGAAAACTGCCCTAATATCCTGGAATGAGAAAGTAAAATGGAAATTGAATGAATCCATCAAACATCTCCTG